CGGTCCATGATCAGAGCCACCGCCGCGGCGCCGCCCCATGCTTACGACTGGATTACGAGCGCATGTCTTGGTGCACAGTCAAATTCAGCACACCCGGCTCCGCGCCGCGAGCCAAGTCGAACATGTTCCGAGAAACTTTGAAATGAGAAGCGGAAGCACGGGAGGTGATATCGGCGCAAACGCGAGGGTCTAAGGTCGGGGCGCCCGCCCTGTGCTTACCCCTTGGGACGGGCATAAGGGGACATTGGCTAGGATCGTTCACAGGACGTCTGCGTTTGGCTAGCAGGTGGGACATTGTCTCTTGAATAAGCCATCGCGAGAAGATGTGCAGCGAGTCATGTCGGTGTTCCCAGGCTCACAATAAGGGAACGAGAATCTGGTACGTATGAGTGCTCGCGCTCAGACTCGGAGCAATATGATGGTGGAGGATGCAGGCACACCGTACTTACATGAGGCCTCTGGCCCCTCGGGTCTCGGAATATCTATATCATTACGGGAGAATGTCGCACGTTTCCCTATAGAACTGCATTAAAATCACGATGGATTGCTTTGTACTTGTGCACAACGGCCAGATTCTTGGAGGAATTACATAGAGCCACAGCGTCTGATCATGTTTCACATTTCGCGATCACGCAACTGCGTAGCGCCACCACCGCGCCACTTTGCCTCTCAGCTCGTCCTACGGTCCTCGTACACTCACTGTAAGGGCAGACACTCGCCTCAATTATGCAGTCCCGGCTTTCGACATCACGGTTCGCCATTTCTGACAAACACTTCGCATGACCACCTATTTTCTAACCTAACGTCAGGCATAGCTCTCGCCTCCCAGAGGAAAATCTACATTTCCGTGAGGTGGCTCAACTAAACTTCAATCGTGCATGTTCGTGTCCGCCCTTTGATATGCTCCGAGTCGAAAATTGCTGATGGCGCACAGGCTGGCACCGCTAGGCAGCTGCCACCATGATCCGCCAGCGAATAGCATCAATTCCTGCCTACGCGCTTGATATGGCGGAATATGGCGTGCATATGCTTCCTCCCTTATCAGGCTCCAAGCGAAGCCATGGTCGTCTGACCGTCGTCCCTGCTCTCCTCCCGGTCGTGAGCCATGTTGTCGCAGCTCAAGAGCAAGTTTCCTTCGTTCGGAACGACGCAAAATGACACGGACGACTTGAACAAGGCTGCGGTGGAGGAACGGGCGAACGACGAAAAGCTCCCGGCCAAGCTTGGCAGCGAAACCTCGTCTGTGGGGGAGGAGGAATTCGAGGACCCCAATCTTGCACCCAGTGGCCTTAACTATGAGGAAGGTGCGTGCGTGCGTGCGTTTGTCGCTGTTGCCCGTGTTAACCACGTCCAATCCCAGTTACTGCGGGAGGAATGGGCCGCCATTTAGGCGTCTTTACGTGCACCCTTATGATGTAAGTGTTGGATTTCCTTCTCCCTCTGACTCGACGTCTGAATATCTGCCGACCCAAAGCGTCGGACGAGTGATCGGGACGGGCATCTTTTCTACGCCATCGTCCATTCTGGGGTCTGTAGGCTCGGTCGGCGCTTCTATGATGCTTTGGGTGCTCGGCTTTGTGCTCTCCTTCTGTGGTCTCTTCATCTGGCTCGAATTCGGCACTATGATCCCTCGGTCTGGAGGCGAAAAGGTGTACCTCGAGGCCGTCTACACCAAGCCGCGATACTTGGCCACGATCGTCTTCGCGGCGAATGCGATATTGCTGGGGTTTACCGCTGCCGGGTGCATCGTATGTGCTATCGTCCAAACATCCACATAACACTATCGCTGACCGAACCCTCCGGACATGTAGGTATTTGCGGAGAAGTATGCTCTATTTGTCACGTAGTCCAACTCTGGGAGCTGATCGGTATGATGTGATAGTATCCTTGTATCTGCTGGTGTGGAAGCGACACAGTGGAATGAGCGTGGAATTGCACTCGGAGGTGCGCACATATGGATTATCCGCACTATCCTAAGAATGCGCTCACGTTGTGCATTGATCCCCAGTCATATTTTTCGTGACATTTTTGCACGGATTCACTCCTAGGCTTGGTATCTTCATCATGAATGTAAGCCTCACTGCTCCTGTTGTATTTAAAGCCCGCAAATCGACATCGCCGTAGATCCTGAGCGTATTCAAAATCGTCATTTTGCTGTTTGTCGTTATCACTGGTCTGTTGTGGATTGCTATCTCACCGTTGCATGTTCAATATTCATTCATCAATGATGACAGGATGGGTCGTCCTCTCTGGTCGAGCGCATATTCAGGATCCTCATGCCAACTTCCGTGATGCATTCGCGGGCAGCTCACATAGTAGCTACGATGTATGTCTACTCTCGTTTGCCGCATTCGACACTCCCAGATTAAACCTCGCCCGCAGTACGCTACCGCAACGTTCAAGGTTCTCAATGCCTATACCGGGTGGTCGGCAGTCAACTACGTTATGAACAACGTCAAGGATCCCGTTCGGACGCTCAAGATTGCAGGCCCGCTTGGGCTCGGAATCTGCGCAGTGCTCTATATGCTTGCGAATGTTGCGTATTTTGCGTGAGCGCCGAGCAGTCCTGAGAACTGGATGAGCGTTGCTGACGGCAAGCAGAGCGGCCACAAAGGAAGAGATCGAGAACACCGGCGTGACTGTCGCATCGCTCTTCTTCTACAACGTCTTTGGCGAGACGGCGCAGCGGGCGCTGACTGTTTTCGTTGCATTGAGGTATGTCATTGCCGTTAAACGTGAATGACTTCGTGCTGACATGGTTTTCAGTGCATTGGGGTACGTGCGCTGTGTTTCGTGCCGAATTACGGATACTGATTCAATTTGTTGCCATCTCGTTTGGGGAATAGCGTAAGTGATCCTTGCTCACTACTCTAAAAAGAATGCTAATATCAATGGTAATTAGAATGTCATCACGGTTGTAAGCCTTCCTTATGTCTTGTATCCTATTCACATTCATTGATGGCTCCCCAGACGTTCGGAGCATCGCGAGTAAATCAAGGTACAATACTCGAGATTGCCTATCCCGTGTCCCTTGCTCAATATCACATGTACCTACGCAGAACTCGCAAAGGAAGGCATTCCTCTTCCGTTCGGCAACCGCTTCTGGGCATCCAACTGGCCCACGGGCAAGTCCCCACTACCCGGGCTGATAATCCATCTGATACCCTCGGCATGTCACCAATCTAACGGCTCTATCGCTCGTTGCCTCATGCATATTTTCTAGATCATCATCATCCTCGGCCCGCCGCCTAGCGTAGCATACCCCTTCATTCTGGATGTTGAGGGCTACCCCGGCCAGATCATCAATTTCTTCATCGTCATTGTAAGCCGGCTGGTGATCCAGATGAATATCCTTGATCAATGATGGACGATAGGGTCTGTTCTGGTTCCGCTGGCGCAAACCAAATATCCCGCGTCCGTTCAAAGGTGCGACAGCTCCTCTGAGTTCAACCAAACACACCGTTTGCTGACTATTTGACCTACTGCATACTAGTCTGGTGGCCCATTGCCTTGTTCTACCTCGCCGCTGCGGTATTCCGTACGTGTTGGTTCACCTGGTTAGTTTGACGAAACCCTCTGACCGTCGCGCCTACCTGCTCTAGTCCTCGTTGCTCCCTTCCTTCGCCCGCCCGGTGGCATTGGTGACACACCACCGCTACCCTACTACTTGTTCGTACCAAAATATTGACAGTGCATGACACATTTGACTCAGTATTCATGCCCACAGGTATTGTCTGGTGGGTATCGCCATCATGCTTGCGGGCGTGGTGTATTGGGCCGCATGGCGGATACTGCCGCGACTCTTCGGATACGAGTATATTGGGCGTAAGGAAACTCTTGCAGACGGGACAGTCGTTGCATTGGTGAGTGCCCAACCCAAGCTTTCGGACCGAGCTAATTGTCGGTGTGCCGCAGTTCTCTGCGCAAAAGATTCAAAAAGGTGAAGTTGATTCATGACATGCCCCGACGAGGGCACGACGCACACTGTTTTGCGTCAGGCAGGGGCGCCTGCATCTGCATGTATAATAATAACATACCAATAAGACACTTTACGATATGATACATTGTGGGGCAAAAGCTTCCACGACTGTACGCAAAATACCCATCGTCGTATTTAACCGCACATATTATATGACAACATCTCCGCAATATACGATGGTTCAACCTTCAGTCCAACCTTTCGGCTGTGAACACAGTCAGCGATAAGCATTCGAAGATGTGAATTGACTTACTTTGACTTCATCTCCAACTGTTCTGATGTAAACGCTGGGTCGCTCCGCCGTCTTCGCGCCCTCATCTCCATCCTCCCAAGTGTAGCTAACACCAACAGCCAACTTCGTCCCATTGGAATTGAAGGCGATAGACGGCACGGATGAGTGATACTTAGGGTATTGGCGCAATCGTTTTTTGAGCTTGTGGTCCCATATTGATACGGTACCATCGGATCCCGCAGATGCGAACGTATTGTACCTGCAATGTTGAGTTCAGAGGTGAACAGGCATAAAGGAACCACCATGCATACACTGGATGGAAAGCGAGGGAGTTTACGGGCCATACATGGTCAGCTCCATCGATCGTCTGACGATGACACTTGAACGCATATTTCTTGTCTTGAGCCTCCGGACTGGGGTCGAAATACTCGACCGCTATCCGACCCTCAACAGATGCAGTGGCATAGCCTGCGTGGAACTGCGTGAATATTGCTGCTTGTATGCATTGTAGTCCGAGTCATGAACTTACCTTGACCATCTACCATACATGCCAGAGCTCGTGTCATGAATTTGAGACTGCTCTCTCTCGTCTGCGCAGGTGCATCCATCTTGCGGATATCATATATGTGGAAGAGTCGGCTCGCCATCGCGACAACAAGGTAATTGTTGACTAAGTCCATGTTGTATACGCGCTCCGGTAAACTATGCGAAGACTGTTGTGCGGCGGACGCGCGGGCATCCCAGAAGCGAATAGTGCGATCCCATGAGCCCGTAATAAGGGCATCTGCCGTTGCGGCGTGAGTATATGTGCATAAGCCAATGACGGAAGAATACCAACTGGTATTGCGAGCGTAGTTCATGCATGAGATGGAATCTGAATGTTGTCCCAGATGGTTTACTTTTTCAGTATCGAGGATTAGTCTGTCAACATACTTGTCAAACAACTTTGAGGTTCGACCGGTGAAGAATGAAGACACACTCTCGGACGGAAGTATCAAGTCCACCACTGAAGACGTGGGAGTCGTCTGAGAAGCAACAAGCCAAAACAGGTGCTCGATGATCATATTTTGACTTTTGTTCGTTCGTTGCGATATCGTAGAAGCGGACGGTCTGTGGATTTATCCCTTGTCAGAATGTACATCATTGCGATGCTGCAGAACAGAGGGAATGGCGAGATGAAGTAAAGGGGGGTTATCAGCCCACAAAATGCACATAACGTGTACGGAAGGGCGCATAGAGTCGGTACATGCGGGATGTAAGTCACGATAAATCCAACGCAAACTCGTAGCAGGCTACTAAATGCAAAACGGACAGACTCACCGCATCCCATGCAGATACAATCAAGTGCGAAGGATTCGTCGGAGCAAACCGCACTGATGATACACTGTCAAATGGTGGCGAGGCGAGTTCAAGTTGTTCTGCAGAGAGAGGCCTATGAGCACCTGCATGCTACACTTGAAGAGCAGCCATACCAGCCATGGTTTGGAAGTATCAGAAAAGAACGTTAAAACAATGGCAGTCCGTATAGCAAACACACGAACGTGTAACCCCTCAGGCAAGCGTATAGGCCAACAAGCAAAGAACGCGCAGTGGCAAATCCAGTGCGAACCGTTTGAGCGCGCCACTGCCACAAACGAGAAGTTGTTGTATGTTGTTGGGACGTGTTGAATTTACAAGGTGATGCCAAACAGCCATTTTGCGGGTGATCTGATCGTGCAATTGCCATACATAACTGTGGCTGCTCAGGGCTGCTCTCGTACCTGGATACTTGTGGCTTTGAACCCACTGCGCGCGGACTTGGAAAATACACGCTAAGCGAAGACGTTTGCATCCACAAAGCGTATGCTTCTCCTTATTCTCAGCTGAATCAGGCGAATCGATTTATGAATAACATCGTTCATTTCTACTTCTTCCTTCAGTCGAAAATAGAACGCATGCCGCATAGGTCCAAATCCTAGTCTATACTCATCAAGTATCACCCGACTTTCTGCGGCTCGTCTATCTTGTCTGACCACGCCCAGGAGTCTGCGATTGCCTCGCCAATCACTAAACCAGGATGCCCCCTCTTTCAATTGTTCGTGCAGCTAACGCTGCATATTCTCCCTTACGTCCTCCAGTCGCCATCTTCTTAGGTGGAACCTCAGGTATCGGCCAAGGACTTGCTAAGACCTTTGCTCGCTATACCAAGGGTGACTCCCATATTATTATGTGTGGACGCAACAGGGCAGCCGCAGAAGCCATGATCACTTCACTTCCTAAGGCAAAAAGTTCTTATAGCGAATTCTTGGCCTGCGATGCTACGTCGATGAAAGGAGTCGAGGCTACCACATCAAACCTCCTCTCGCGACTGCCCAAAGTGAACTTTCTTTTTCTCTCCCCTGGTTTTCTTAACTTTCGTGGAAGAAACGACACGTCCGAAGGAATCGACAAATGGCTGGCTCTAACTTATTATGCGCGGTGGAAGTTCATATACGACTTGTTGCCGCTATTGACCAAGGCGAAGGAGGCAGGCGAAGATGCACGTGTCTTAACGGTACTCGGACCTGGCACCGGGGGCAGGATTGACCTCGACGATCTCGGCTTGAAGCGAAAGTATAGCAGTGTGAGGGCGTTCATAACGGCACCCACATATAATGATCTCATGATTGAAGTGAGTGACAATCCCCACGTTCAGCTCGAATATTTCATATACTCTCCTTAGTCCTTCGCCGAGAGAGAGCCCGGGGTTTCATTTACACACGTCTTCCCTGGAATCGTCCGCACTCCCATGCTAGGACGCCTATTAGAGGTACTCTTATACCCGATGTCAGTCTCCCCTGAAGACTGCGCGGAGTATTTACTGTATGGACTATTGAATAGTGGCGATGGAGCCTCTAGAAGGAATAACAAGGGTGATGATATGGGAAAGAAGAGGTACTATGGATCCGATGAATCCCGGAAGCGATTATGGGAGCACACTGTCCAGGAGGTCGATCGTGCCAAGAAGTCCGGTGTTTGATTCGCTTTCCCTTAGTTTCGAATCTGTGGACTCAACTCCTGGCTTCCCGTTTGAAATTGTAACATAACATCATTGTCTGTATCAATATGCCGGAGAAATGTGTGGCCGTTGAAGCAAGGTCGTCTGAATAATTATGATACTGAGCAAAGCTGTGGGTATATTATGTCAAGCCGAGTATGTGTGAAATGGGTATGTGCAGTAGGGTGTGTCGAAGCAGTTTCTCTGTATGTGTGTTGCTAGTCGATATATTTTTCGACATCACAAATCAAATTTCGTGTTCATGTCCTGCCAAAAAAAGGCACTTCAAATCAAAAGCAGCCATGCGGAATGATGTAGCGTACCAAAGGCAGCATGCTATAAAGCTAATCATTCAGGCAGCACATCACACCTTATCCTTCGTAATTCAAGAATAAATATCACCTACCTGTGGATCTTGATAGTTGGGCAGCGGGTACGACATATCACGGGAGCTTTTTTGTTGTCTTTTGCGGTATTTCTTCCGTGCTGTGCGCATCGCGGCATCGATCTCGTCTCTGTGTAGAAATTAGCATGAAATGGCTGAGCAGAGGTCTCGCATTTCTGACCTCATATGGACCATCAATTGTCCATATGTGGGAGAAGGATTGGTTTCTGCAAAAATTAGATACATTTTATATTTTTCCGGTTGGGAGACATACTGAGAAAAGCAACCAACATCTACGGCGAGATGTTAGAACCATTTTTATAGGCTACAGCCACAGTCAGGAGAACATGGACGAACCTGAGTCATCGATTTCTTGCCAATTTCATATGCCAGCTGTCCATCCGTACAAGCAGAGAATGTAACCTATTGGAAGAACAAGTAAACCAGATCATTAAGGAATGGTCCAGTGAACGGGATCCTTACTACACTGGGAGTCCTTTCTGGAGTCACGCCGTCCAGCTCGCAAAATCCACTGCACAAAGATATGTACCCCTCAACAAGTTCTGGAGACGAGCAGATGCGCTCCACTATGTCTTGTGATTCCACTGTCTCAAACAGCGCATACTTAGGACGTGTCCTGAAAGGAACACCTTCTCCGGTGGATGAAAAGGACGACCATGAAGAGTCGGATCCCAGCGTCCTAAAGCTTGTAGAAAGTGACAGTATAGTGGGAGCATCGTAAGAGTCCATAGCATCAGTCTTGATCTCTGTTTTCTCTGTTTGAGACATGCCATCTATAACTTGGTCCAAAGAGAGAGCGGACATTGGATTTGATGTCACCCCAGGATATGAATCGGATCGCTGAGGATGTAGTTTACTGTGAGTTTGGATGAACCGCTGCTGGTTACATTGGCCGTGGTCCAAATCTGTGGGTTATCTTGTTGACGGCTATGGGTGCATCGTTGACGTCTAACTTACCAAGGAGTGTGGCAGAATGGCAGCAATCAAAAATGCCCTGTGAATTACCAATGAGTAAAGAAAGATAGAAACTGAAATTCTTACAATCAACTTGATGGTTGGATCAGGTGGAAGTGTATCAACAAGGATATCACGTAAGTCCTGCAAATGATTGTGAGTTCGTGTAGCCACCAAATATGAGTACAACAAGCACACATTGTCTTTAATCAGACCATGCCCTTGACCTTTCTCGGTGCCGTCGGCGTCCTCAGCCACTATCACTGAGTTAGGAGAAATCAATGAATTAAAATGACGGCAGTCTGTTCGGAGAGTTGAATACTTGCACTCGTCGCAGCCATCCTCCTCCGTGTGTTCCTTGCATAGTACCTGTGCAGTATGACCAGCATCTATATTAATTTTTTTGAATCATCGATCGAATTCTCGACATGAGTAAATGCCACACATACAGTAGAACACAAATGTGTCGTATGACCGAGGATCACGGACGAGGGCTTTAAGCTCTCGTCTCTTAGATAATCACGCATGAGCCTGTGCATATCTTTATGGAGTGAAATGAGTGTCACCAACCAAGTTACTCTTTCTCGGCCTCATTGAATCCTCCACCTCCGCCGAATCCAACATCACTTTCACATTTTCTGACTGGTATCCATAGCAGTCTACTTCAAATTAGATCCTGCAAGACGCATATGCTCAGTGGGAAAACATACCAACGAGCAGCCCACAGAAGTCCTTGGCGCCTTGGTGGCATCCTCGGAGTTCGGCTTTGTCTTTGCCTACGTAATTGATACCAACAACCAGAGCTCTCTTGATGGGTCCACGGCTGATTTGTGAGGCGGAAACGCAGCCCTTGGGAAGCGTCATTGACCAGTCTGAGCGAAAAGCACAAGCTGAGATCTAGCCAAGATGTGAGATCGGAGGGAACAGGGGACTGAGAATAGCAAATCAAAGAGCAAGTGCCTTGAGATGTGGAGTCTTGTCTACCCTCGCTGGCACTATAATAGTGATTCAAGGAATGTCACACGCTCTGACAGATGCACCGCCTCGAGGACCGTTGTGGTTGCTGGGGTACGGGCTGTGAAACAATGGCAGCCCCACGGAATACACAATGCCACTGACGTCATTTCTTGCAGGATGAGCGGGGACTGGGAAAACTACTTCCATACGCATCGGCTCAATCTAAGGCGGTAGTCTTCGAATCTGAACACACTACGGTTCGGAGAGGAACTCCGCCGCGTACGTCCGTTCGTTGAACTGGGAGCTGTAATAAGACCAGATCTGTTCGACAGACATGTAGACAGTTGGGTATCATTCCAAAGCGTGTTACCATTGGCCATGCCTCATGTTTCTATCACTATTATAGCAAACTCGTACCTCGGTGCGTTCCTAATACTTCCAACTCGTGAAGTCTGACGTGGACGACGGCACTTGAATTTTCGCAATCATGAATAACCGCCGCATTCAGAATTTCCTCTAAGACTGCACCTCCATGCGTGACAAAGTTCGGCAGCGGGACGCTTTATTGAATGGACACATACCGCCAACAAAGTAACTCCACAGCACCTACGAATCTGCGAGTCTTCGAATGCATCCCTGAAGGACCATCAAGTACTGCCTCAAACACGCTTTTATTGAAATTAGGAGACAGCCTTGCAGACCACAGCCAAGTGAGGCGTCCAAGCCGAATTCTGTTTAGAATCCTGTTCATAAATCGGTGAGCTGCGATTGGACAATGATCCAACAAGTCTTCAACGAATAAGAGGGGAATTTATTGCGTCCGGTGAGAGAAGATCAAAAAATCAAACAGCGACTTTGAGCAAGAAAAGACTTACCCATCAAATGTCCAATCAAATGAATTCTGCCACGTAATATTCTGCTTCCTGCGATGGCTCACACTGGGTCCGGATACTAGTCCAACATCATTTCGGAAATAGAGATATGGAACACTGTGCATACCCGGAACTGAACAGGTGAGACATGGCTTCAGTGCTCCGGGCCAATGGAGAGCCATACTTTCATTCGTCCTAGCTCAATAATAGGAGAATATGCCCAGTGACAAATTGCTCCTCAGCGCGAAACTGCAGTCCACATCCAATTTTTCACGGCAAGCGCAAATTAGATACCCGTCTTGCGTGACATGTCACTAGAGATAAGCGTGCGTACTATGTTGGATCACGAAGATGAAAGTATACGGCAGAGCGACACAGTCAGCTTCAGAGGACTTTTCAGATCACGGAGAGCTGAGGCATGCATCGCTGGTTCCGCTGACAGGAGGAAAGATATGGAGTGTGCCAGAGTATGAATTGCGACAGGTTGCTGGGAGATGGCATCTTTGTTTAAAAGATTCACCGTTTGTAAAATGAGTGGCGCCTTCCTTGTCGGCCCATTACAATGTGTTCTCATCTCGCTTCAGCTCGACAGCATATATGATGGAAATGAAGCGCACCAATTCGGTAATCGAGCTGTACAAGATCCTGGATTGATCACGTATTAGGCGATACTGGAATACAGTGTGCTTGCACGAGACCATCCATCGTGCTAGTCATATCTTTATAGCAAACTACACCTCCATCCAATGCAGCATAGGTGGTTCCGTGGATTGAAAGTCATCATAGATCAGTGCAAGCTCAAGTTCGGCTCGGAGAATCAAAAAGAGCAAGCGCGAGGATGGCAGTACCATGGGGTGAAGCAATGAGAGAGACCTCAGACCTGGAGAGATATGGAAGGGTGGCCTCGTGCCCAGATACATCGAACACAGGGAAAGGACGAACCACATTACTTGCCATATTTGGTAATCTATGCTGTTATCTGCCACGTTGCCACGCGCGAATAACGATACGCGCATACGGTGACTTGGCAGTCTTGGCTCGTAAGTCTACTATGTACTTGCGTGAGGACCTGGGGTCTTTCCCCCCTCGCGCTTGTCAAGAATAATCGTCAGTGGTTTAGTTCATTCGGCGTTCCCGAAATATGCTGATTTACTGTGCTAGCGTTTGTAACTTGTAAGGGGGTCATTGACAGATGCATCGGCGCCTTCAGCCTCCTGCGTCATTAGCCAGATCACACTGCATCCGACCTCGTCCATACACCATAGCGACTCTGCAACTTTTCCAAACGAACTACTGCAATGGCTTTATCATCGACACCCGAGGCTCAAAAGATTATATGTCTTATTCATATCCAACCAGGAGTCGTGCGGATGCTGATATTGGTCTTATCTATCTATCTTGCTTTATCCAATTCTGTCTCTCTTGGAGTGTGCGCTGAGTACATGCTTTATGTGCTGTTCGATGCACAAGCCGAGGCTCACCGCCGTGATCTTGGAGCGAAAGAGTTATATTCGTCAGACAAGTTGCGAAGGGAATTATGGGAGCATAGCATGCGGGAAATCGACTGTGTGTTGGTTTTAAGCTCCTAAGTGCTATATCTCCCGGGCTCGGGATTTCCTGGTATTCATATAGTACATCATATATTATAACTAAACAGCGGATATAATGTTACTCATGAATGGAATCTGAGCAGTCATACATAATTGTACATAAGTCCTATCATAGCTCCTAGGTTATCAATACACCTTGACTGGTATGTGGATTTTTTTTTTGAGGCTGTAAATCATTACTGAGTCCATTATACTGCATAGGGTGGATTCATCGACATAGCCAACTGTGGCGAGTGGTGTGCTGATAGCCCTACGAGACCAGCAATCGCAGCTCGACGTGATCCATCCTCTTCTGGTCGACAACCTCGAATCCGTCAAAGTGATGATGGTCCAAGAGAAAATCGATCCGCTTCACCCCCCTCCTATATGCCGCCTGCCAGGTCGATCCAGGATTGGGATGCGCTCTGATACGGTCCATGAAAGTGGCAGTGACATCAGCGTTCAACTCCGCCTTCTCCGCCGCCTTCAACTCCTCAGGGGTAACGGTTTCCTGCAATGCGCTCTGGAGACGTTTGAGCACGTCTCCGATCGTGACGTACTGTCGGTGCGCGGTCACCGTCACGGACCCCTTGTACTGGAATTGGGAGATACGGATCGTAAGTTGGGGTACGGGTGGTGTCGTCGCGCTCTCAGCGAGGAGCGAATAGGAGAGTCCCGTGTGCTGCTTTCCCTTCAAGGCGCTCTTGAGACCATGGAATGCAAAATCGAGTGGACACCATAGATCCCATGAGATCATCTGGCCCTTCGCAAGGTCGCCCTTCGCAAGGTTGGGGTTAATCTGTACTCGAGTGCATCTGTCGTTTTGCACGGGATGGGCTGGATGAACCGGTACGAAGACCGGATGCCAGACGAATAATTGGGGTGGGAAGTAAAATCCGGGAACGGGCTGGCGACGTTGCTGGAATGGATGAGCCATCTTGCGAGGAGAATGGATCGTCAGTCGAGAAGAAGAACCAATAGATACTCCAGGACTCACTGTCTGCAATAATTCGGTGCGTTTCAAATCGTTTACCCCGCAGTGTCTTGTAGTTGTGGATGGTATGTTGAGGAACCGCAAGTACCGCTGCCATATATATACTCTGTGCAAAAGTCGCCAATTGACTGCGTTCAACACAAATGCGCAGGCTCGAGCGGCATTAAGGATCGCCGAGAGGGCCCGACACAGGTCCGGTGAGAAGTGTGGTCAGTAGGCGCTGCATTGCCTGGTCTGCTGGACTAATCAGTCACTTCGCCCGCTATTTTTCAATCCTGTACTCGCGTTCAATTTGGCAAGTCTGCATGATTGCCCTCATTTGGAAAAATGTGGTAAAGCCGAGTAATATCCTTTCCCCCAAGCCTCTCGGACTAGCAGCGACATGACCGAGGATTGGAGGGAGAAGTAGAAGTCTATTGCAATACCCGACGGGATGAAGCTGCAATACCGACCAAAGTTCCGTCAGCTTTGCAGTACGTCCGAAGTACTATGATGACATCAAGTCTGACATAGGAGCCCCTCAGACGCACAAGCCACATACCAGTGTGGTGCTAGGCGGTATTTGGACGGATGGTCCTACGACCGACTGCAATGCCTCAGCGCTGTCATTGAGACAGATTCAAGGCGCCTCGCCTGAAGAGCCTAGAAGTACTATTCCACTCTGGCATACGCCAGGAAGAAGCTTCCTCTCAGACATTCCTAGCCGCTGTGCTGGTCACAGTATTCCCACACAACATGTTCTGATCACGGGCATTCCATACCACCCGTTGCACTCACACCGCAAAATCCTAGATTTGATCCTGAGCAGATGGCGGCGGGAATGACACCGGGTGAAACTGTGCCGTTACGCAGCGAGCATCGGGTGTTAGATTAAAATCCATCGTTCCTTGATTTCCATGACCCTTACACGTGCCTATGCCAAGGAAAATTGTCAGGTTTGATCGTCGGACAGGTTCCATCTTCAAGAAGTCTGAGTATGGGGAAATACGGCAGCGCTCGCAGACAGATGCACGGGATGGGCAAGAGGTACGTCATGCCTGCTCGAGCAAATTTTCCGTTTATACATCGCATCGAATGCGTTTGACAGGTCCATGTAAACCCTCTAAACCTTTCTGAGAAAGTGCGGAGGTCGAAGCTCTCTCTGGAAGCGGCAGTAGGCAACGTCCAGCCGTAGGGGGATTCTTATCGTCATAATCTCAATGATCAAACGATTGGGGAATGGGTGGTGGACACTGTAGGCCTGTGTAGGAATTGGCCTCTCTGGCGTAAGAGACTTGCTATGACCGTATTCGAAACGAACCACCTACACACGCTCCCAAAGCCGGGCTATGTACCCATCTCCCACCACCTTCCACCTGCTATTAGGAACAGAAATCAGAGGCCAATAGATCAGGCCCCGTGTGCTGACCCTTATTGAATAATGGTGATAATCAGCGACCACAGCGCACTTGGTTCTTCGCAAGAACTGAGTAAAACGGTTTGTTTTTGCCTCCATATGATACAAGGACTGATGGAATGGGTGGAATGGCAGATCTAACCCGTCAAAACGTAGAAGATAGAACCACTGCAGCGTAAGTTTAGACGAAAGCAAAAAATCGTCGGTAGCAATCTTCGTGGATGCTGGAGAGAATGTCGACTTTTTTTAATTGGTTGACGCTACACGGTCAAATTGCAGCATCTGAGCGATGCATGTCCTGGTTTGAGCAACTCCAACATTAGTCATAGCACAGATTGAGCATCACCACTATCAGCCACGAAACTTGACGAACGGCGTTCCTACTGACGGATCCGAACCACAGATCTTGGAAGCCTATTCCATAAGTACTTCATTTTTTCCTATGATCAGCATGTCTCTCAATCTCCCAGTCACTGTAGACGAGGCGCACTGGGTGGTCGAAGTCCATGCGGATGGCAGAGCCACGGAGACCCGGGTACGTTTTGATAAATTGGGCTTTGTCAGTCTTGGGCACTGCATGCGTGGTACAGCTGAGGCTGCTTATCAGCTACCGGGCCGCTCCCCTGGTAGCTTTCCATGCTGTATTTAATACGAAATCTGATGCGTACGATGGATTCAACCGGTGCCCCTGTGCATCAGGACACCGCCCATGAGCATAAAACAAATGGAATCAAGAATTTAGGCTCGACGTGCCTTTGAATGATATCAAGCGGCTCGGGACCACTGAGCCCCATTGACCAGCCCATCAATTCGAAATTCGAGTTGTTCGAGTCTCTCGGCAGGCCAACCACTTCGCATGTGCCCGTACGCCCGCACTAATTTCCCGGAGCTAGACGCAATCTGCATAGTGAGAGTTCTCAGCCAGCTCGGAGGATGATAGGAGGCGAAGAGGGGGAAGTCTCAATATCAGCTCGCTGCGAGCAGGGTTTGCACGCGTTGATGCCGTTGAACCACACGAACTGCCTTTTTCAGAATGCGGAGTCACAATCTCGGCATACGGCGGATGCATCGCGATTACGCGCCAGCTAGGGCCGCGGCCATGGCCCATGAACGCATCCCTCGGCGAAGTGTCGGTCGGCGTCGACGCCGAGGGAGAATTCTTGTCCGAGAAGTGCACGACAAAAGGCCATCACGCCTAGAGATTCGTTCCAAAAGTAATTGAGGGTGTACAGTACAAATGATTGTGTGCGCATACGCTGCGTTGCGACGAGTCGGCGAGAGCGGTACAGTAAACGTAACAGCAGTAACAGTAACAGTAACAATAGCGCGAGAGAGGATGATGTAGTGACGACCGAGTACAGTAGTGGATAAGTTACGAATATGGTAGGAAGGGAGAAAATACAGGGAATACACCGAAAAAGGAAACTCTATGGGCATGGGGAGATGTCGTTATGGGGTCGTTTCGGGGGGAGAGATGGATGGGCAGAGATGATTAAGGGGTGATGATGGCTATAACACAGCGCAGTCCGTCAAGTCGTCTGATGTCCGTTACACATTGCTATCGTCGTCGTCGAGACCGTCGCCGCCGGGGCAGCACTTGTCGGCGCCACGGCCGTCGTCGTCGAGATCGCTGTCAAGTCTTCGTTCAATATCGTCGTGGCGCGTTCGGCCAGCCCACGCGCTGCTCACGCCAGCGCGAGATGGACCGCCCAGACTTCCCCAAGTCCACGCGACTGGAGGGCAGGTCCGCCCACGACCATGGAGAGCCCCGCAAACCGACGCGCCTCCATGAGAAAGTCGACGCGCTTGACCCCCTTTGCGCGTTCCTCTGCGCGGCGCTGGTCGTCTGAGATGCTCTTGTGGCGCACGTGAAACGCTTTGTGCACGCGCAGCTGGCCCTCTTTGGGGAGGAAGGAGAGCTCGGCGGCAGAGACGGACAGGCGGAGGCTGCGGAAGAGCGCGCGGAGGACGTCCGAGACGGTGACGACGGAGCTCGCTGGGTCGACGGGCATGACGGTGATGGACCAAGGGAGAAGGTCGCAGATGAGGGTAAGCGAGGGCAGGCCGGGGTGCGTGGCGGGCTCAGCGAGGAGCTTGGGGAGTGGTCCTGGGGCGTGCGCCGTGGAAGGGGGATACATCATGTCCCAGACGAGGGTGGTGTATGGCGCGACGAGGATGGGATGTATGCACACTTGGCCTGCAGCGTACGGGAGGAAGCCGAATGGGACAGGAGATTCGGGGTGGTACACCTGCTGTTTGGATGAGGCGTATGGGGAGTAGAAGTGTTGGGGTGGGGTGGTGGGTCCGACGGAGGATTCCAAGGACCCATTGCTGAGCGTGGGGGATGGGGTCGGGGGGATGTCGAAATGGACGCGTTTGGTGGGAGCTGGCATGATGGGAGGCGGGGGGATTACGGGGGATGGGATGGGAGATGGGGGCGGGGATGAGGCCATGGTCTTTTATGAACGAATGGCAGGGCTGACAAGCATCTTGGTCGGGAGCGAGCGCAATCAAGTCAGGCAACGGGTGACAGTGGGCGATCGCTGCGAGATCTCACTCACCAAGGCAACCCCCTGGAACACATACGAGCGAGGGAGGTCCAACACGGAGAGGAACAACACCGCTGGACGCGCATACTCCGGATTCTTGAGTCATGTTGACCCGCACGCGTGACAAAATTCTCCCAGATCGTTGTCCTCCAAACAGGTGAAGCCCGAAAAAGAATAAACAAACACTGCCCCTCCCATCATTGCACACTGTCCGGGGTCTTTCTCGCGGCCCAATGCGAACAATTTCTAGCACCTAACCCCAGTTTCAACCATTCCATGACCTTCATTTCATACTTGTCTCCCTGCACCGTCGCAATGGCCCTTCAAAATAAAACAAATTCAGCGAGCGTTATAGATCCCGAAGAATTTATCCGCACAGCATCCTCATAGCACCGCCAGCGGCCAGTCCCAGCAACGCCTCCCTGGCCGCCCAGGTGGCCTGTCCACGACCACCGCACGCATCCCCACGTTTTCCTGACGGACCGCAGCCGCCAGACGCCCGCAAATCCTCGGCTCCCAAACTCGCCCCGCCCCGCCCCGCATTCTGTTGCTCTTGTTCAACTGACATCTGGCAACGCTGCGGTGCCAACAGTTCGCCCAGACACATCCCTGTCGCCGTAGCCCCGGCTTGTTTTTGCCAATCAACAATAATATTTGAATACACATCATGCGTGCGCAGTGACCGCTGCATCCACGCGATGGCGATCCACCTCCGTGGGCGCCGGGTCCACCGGCCGCACCGTGCTGTGGCCTTGAGCGGCCCAAGCCCGCCTTGGTATCGACGACATCCATCACACACCTCACATCTCATCAGTGGAGGAGCAGGGTGCTCTGCAATCCTTGATTCAAATCCGTGAGTTCCATCCGTATGACCATCCTGCGCCACGCCTACGTTTTTGATCCCGCCCTCGCCAGACCACCCGCAGCAGCCGCCACGCCGCCCAGCCAGCTCGGCCGACCTGGCGTCCTCTCTCATCAGCGGAGGCGTGGTGCGCTGCAATTCAAATCCTCCCGTGAGGCTTCAGCCCACGGCCGTGCCTTTGATTCCGCCTCCGCCAGACCACCCGCAGCAGCGGCCAATCCGCCCAGCCCGCACGGCCGACATGGCGTCCGCTCTTCTGGGCAGTTCTGTCCGTGGGACACTCTCGGACGGCATCACAGCCCGTCCGCAGAGACAAGTGCTAAGTTCGCAGTGTGATTGATTGAACCTTAATGTTTTCACCCTTTTCGGAACTACGCAGACGACGAAGCCACCCCCGCAGGGTCCCGACGAGCTGCTCGCACTCCGCAGTTGTTCTCGGGCATCCCGGATTCTACGTTCTTCTGGAGGTGCAGTCGGACGTTTCTGGGGTCCAAGGTATCACAGATCAAGAAGGCAGAGAAAAGCTGAAATAACAAACAGTTTCAGAAGTAGAATGGGGTCCCAATTCAAGTGGCATCCCGGGCCGTTGGAGGCCGGAGTTGTTGCTCTGCTATCATGTCGCGTTCCAGACCTGGGCAGCCACGAACGACGCCGGCGGCGCGCTTGCACTGTGGACTCCTGGTAGAACGCTCTGGCTTCCGGACCCTCCTGTCGCGTCTCGTCCAATCGTGATTCTCCCCTGATTTCGCAACGTCCTGTACGTCCGGGCTCCATGGATCCCCGGCAAAAATATGCCTGTCTGCTCCAGGTGGAACGCCCCCCATTAGTCCGGCAAGCACAGTTTGACCCTCACGCCCTGCTTACCGGCTTTGTTCTTCTGATGCCGAACACGATCACTGGATAGATGGCGACGGCTGTGCGCCGCACTTGAAACTCTCATTGCTTACGACATTGTTGGGCGCGAAGAAAATACGTTCACCTTATGGAGACTAGAACGTGCCATGTATGCGCCACTATAGGCTCAGCATATGGAGTACTTGCTCATGCGGGGAGCTCTGCATGGTCCAAGATACATATAGCCTAGTAACTATGCAAACTGCAAACTTGATATACTCCATTGCAAGCATAACAGAGAATATCAACATTGAATTTCATTTGGAAATACCATGAATATTCCCTGAGTATGTTTGGAGTATTTCCACTGGAAATATGTTCTTATGCTTGCAGTGCTGATTTGTCAGAATATCTTTGCTTACATAAGCGGTTACTTATTTGAATATCTAGTGGTTGAACAGATATTGCCTTGTACGGTAATCGCTACAAATATACCACGCTTGAGCAGAGCGACGAACAAGTCGAGGCTCGTCTGTTACCTCTGTGACGCGCTAACGTTTACTATGTTGATATGCTAGTCTCTCTTCGAATGATATCTGACTGTTCTGGGTTGTGACACTGGAAAAGGGACCCCATTACCGATACCAGACGCAGGATCATGTCAATTCTGCCGAGTGAGTGCTCAAACTACAACTGCTCAAACCAACATCTAATTCTGATCTGTGTCCAGCTCTCGCTGTATTCCCGGATCGAACACTGGTCCCTGTGCTCGCATCTGGATCACATATGACGGAGGAAAAATAGCCTGGAACTGGCCGGCTTAGTTTCTCTGCTGGCATTAAAGCCCAGCGCGCTACTTCCAAACTGCATCCGCAGAGGTCTACATTGTCGATATGATACAGCGACGACAGTCTCTGTAAGTGCATCACGTCCCCTGCGCGGTCTAGGACGTATCAGACCGTTCATAAATCATTCGAGGGGCTGATGTTGCTAAAACAGAACCAGTGTTGGTAAGAGACGTGTCAGCATTCGAAATTGCCACTGGAGAACACAGGCTGCGCGAACAGCTAGCGACTGGAAGACCGGGGAGTATGCTCGGAGGCTCTGCCCGGGACCGGGTCAGACACTCCCGGGCTATCTCGACCAGCAGACGGGCGACGGATGTATGGAGACATCCTCATCTATTCAGATCAGATGGAAGTGCCACCAGCCCACCGGGGGCCTGGCAGTGCGCCATTAGGCGCTCAATATCTCTGTCACGCGTACTTTCCCCAAGGATCTCAGCTTAAAGTTTCCGTGTGGCCAAACTAGTTATCGCGCTATGGCAGCCAAGAATCCTCGGGGGAACACGTCATTCTCAAGCCCGCCGGGTTGTGAGAGCCCCGTGGGCTGATCGGACGGGGTATGTGGAATATGGCGCGTCCCCCGGAAAGGATATTAGCAAGCTGGACGTGTCGTGCCTGCGCGGCGAGGTAAGGAGGTTATGCTTGCGTCTCGCGTGCGTGTGTATCGTGGCTGATATCAAACCGCAGCCCGCGACGCACGCGCTACAGAGATGAACAATATGCGCTTTGACGCGATCGAGGATGCGCTGCTTGATCAGGCAGGTACGCTCACCGCGTCTCGTGAGTGGCATGGCAACAGGCACTGGGTCGAGGCTGCTAGAGTGGCCAGAAGTCGACAAAATGCTCAGCGAACACGGCTGCACGCGACTCGTGCGTGACAGCGGTGTATCTTCGCAATCTACGTGGCCATCGATTGGGACGCCGTCCGTCTTGCGCACGCGCTAGCCTACGCTCTCAGGTCTGTTCGGACGGGTCTCGGAAATGAAGCGGTGCCAGGACGCAGACAAGGTCAGTCATTCATTTCCAAGAGACCCTGTTCACTTTTGGGAATACTGACGCAGATACGCAGCGATGCTCACATCATCAGGATCGTTATCATCGATTTCATGAGCTGCAATACTTGCCTATTTTTGACCTTTAGGCTCGTTCATTACGCGGCTGCTTCGCTCAGGGTCTTGGACGCTGTGCTGTCGCAATCTGGGTCGAAGCCCGTGGACACCGAGACGGACTGTTAGCGTAACACGCGCGCAACGGAGTCTATCATATGCATAAAGTCCAAATGCGCTCGCGCGCTTTAGATAGAAAGTTCGGACGGCGGCGCGCAGCACGCATCAGCTGCTTCCACCGAAGCAAAGCGCATTCAGCATCCAAGCTGTCTATTCTGCTGTCGGGGTTTCTCCGCGCCGCTGTCGAACATTCGCCGTTCGTCCCCCCGCCGTCCGCCGCTGGACCCGCGCAGCTCCGCATTCGTCGGGAGTTGTTGGACGTCGCGCGTTGCGCGAGACCACCCGCAGCTCCGTGCGCGGGATCACGCGCGCCGTCGTGCCTGCCACCCTGTCCCGCCGCTCCACAAACGTGCAAGGACGGTGCGCGTTCTCTGTTTATGCCGTGCTGGCCCGCATATGCTCGTACCTGGCTCGTGGGTCGCGGAAGCGTGCACAGCACACGAGCGTACAGCCAGTGCCACCGCGCGCCCCACACAAGGCGTGTCTATGCATATCTGTGCTACCTTCTCCCTGCTAGCCGATTCAAGATTGTGGGTCCACCTCCTCTCCATATCGCTGGGCGGGGTGGGATGGCTTGCCCGGCACATACGATCCAGGATCCAGCGATGGCAGATCGAGGAAGGCGTGCAGGCGCCGACTCACGCGCTTGTTCGTAGTCACATGAGGCCGTGATCTGCGAAGCCGAAACCCAAAGGCGCGGGCGGGTCCTGGTGAGCTCGCACCGCGGGATTGTGGCTGGGCGTGACTGGCTTGGGGGGACCGTGTCACTATCCGCAGCGCGGCTCTTCATCGACTTGTCGTCGAGGACGGCCAGGAAGGGCAGGTAAGGGTTGTAAAAGATTACCTAAAGACGTTATCAGAGCAGAATCAGCCTCAGGGCCCAGGATCCCAGTCTCGGGAATGGACCGAAATCAGACTTCCGGGAATGGCAAACCACCTGCCCTTTTGGGATAGCTCTCCTGGGGGGACAGGTCCGGTGCAGTGGAGGAGTTTGAGCCGATCGTGCAGAGGCAACTGGACCGGATCGCGACCCCTAGTATGTCCGCCGCGGTCTCCCTTCTGAATTGGCCAAGCGGGCCTGTTCTTCCACATGGACCAGTCGCGAAGCTCAAGGCGCGATTATAGTACCCATTCGGCCACGCCACCGGCCTCTTGCAACATGTCGTCGCGCCCACACCACTTGGAGTCTATGCATAGTTTCGGCGGAGGGGTCATGGGCGCGGCGACCCGTCCCCTTCCTCCTTGCCTGCCATTTCCGGTTCCGCCATGTCACGAAGGACAGGGTGGACTGGGGGCACCTGTCACAAGGAGCGGGAAGGGTGACAGTGCCACCCCCGCTTCTGGTCTGATGCGGATTCATACAGCTTTGACTGAATAGGAGCGATAGCGGCCAGCAGCGTGCCTGCAAGATTATGTTCCGTGTAATTGCAATTCCTGACATACGGCTGAGTTGCAACCTTGCACAGTCACTTCAGCGGGGGCCCGCCGCCTACGCGTATCGATTGGTGCATCAGCTGCAGGTGCGTGCTCCACAGCTTGCGCCGGCGGAATCCCGATCGATAGTGGCCGGTGAACGTCATTGACTGGGATGGGCTTCTGCTGCCCGCTTGCGATGATTACCTTTGCGCATAGCTGGATGTGTCCCCGACTTTGCTGCTGTGCTCCCGGTCGTCAGCTGGGCGTCGTGCCACTGTCTTTCGCGATGCTTCTAGTCGTAGCCAGTGCACACCTGCCTATCCTGGCCAATTGGCCCGGTTTTCGAACGAATTGCTTCTAGCCGGAGCGTGCACAGCGGTATGTGGTCTCAGCGCTCAAAGTGCACCGGGCTAGGCACGGGGAGCGGTGCATCGGGAACTTTCCGTACTTTAAGCGCCAGGTAAACCGAAAAAGGATATGTATGTAGGTCCACTGAGGCTGTTGTCTCGGCAGCGCGTACTCACGAACCCCTCGTCGACTTCCCCAGCGAAGGTTGGCCACGGTTCAATCCCCGATGACTGTAGGTCGCGCAACTCCACGGCGTACGAGTTGCGGCCGTGATATGGCCCGAATCTATGGATCAGGTTGCCTGCGCAGCCATCTGGTGTCCTAGGGTCAGCGTGACTGTCTCGCCTCCGTCAAGTTGTTCTGAGTCACCGAGTCAGTACGATACCGACTCATCAGCCAGCGCCCGCCGTACCGCAATTCCCCGCTGCACCGATTCGTGCTGTACAGTGCGCCCAGTTCCTTCCATACGGCGGTGCGACGTGACTTCTGTCACAAGCTCACAGGGACCTTCCCCCTCAGTGGTCATATATATGCATCCGGCGATGCGACTTCAGTCTCTTCATCCGCCCCCTCTTCTCCTCCACCACACTCAACAACGAGGACACTCTCAACGAGGACACTCTCGACAAGGTCCCCATCACGCTCAACCCTTCCCATCGCAACCCTCCCGCCCTTCTCATCACTCACTATGGCGCCCGCTGCCAATAACGCCAGGCGTGTCCACTTCGACCTCCCGTTATCCCCCGCCTCCACCATCAGCTCATCAGGCCCACGAACGCCCTCGACGGGACCATCCTACGCCCGCCACATCATCCCTCTTCCCGCCGTCTCCCCGGATTTTCCCTCCATCAATCTCCCCGTCTACCCTCCATCGCCAATCTTTGTACCCATCTATCAGCCATTCTACCCTCTGGTGCCCGCGCCAGCGCCAGTACCCTCACAGGCGAGCCTGCGCCCACAAGTGCAAGTCAACCTGAAGCTCGCTGCGCCCGGCCCTGGAGAGCGCGCCCTGGTTGACTGGGACCTTTGGATGCGCCCCAGCAAGGCATCAGAGCGCCGCGCAGGTGGCGCCCAGGCGGCTGCGCAACGCTACGCCGGCCTTTCGAGCGCACTCCTCGCTGAACCCGCTACGACCCCCGGTGTGGCGCAGCTCACCCTTTCCGTCGCGCACCCCAATTTCCAATGGACCATCCCCGTGAACGCGCGTGGCGAGCACGTCACGGTCGACGATGTACTCATTGCTCTGTATGATGCCCTCCAATTACCAGTGAGGACGGCAGAATGGCGCGAGGCGGAGCGCGCGCGCATTGACAAGGCTATCGCGAAGTCGTTCCGCGACCGCTGCAGACAGGTGCCCGGCAACATGACCCCGCAGGCAGCGGAGCAGCTGGGGGTGAAGCGCATCGACTACCTCACGACCAGCCGGCTCTTCGCTGGGCTTGAAGTCGCTAACAGCGAGTGCGGGGCGAAATATGGAGAGGTGGACGGCGTCGAGCTACGGCTGCAGCTCCGGGATGTGTGATCGTGCTGGCATGCGACTCGAATGGACCTTTGCATGTTTGCCTATACCCCCGGCTAGCGACCCAGTGCTGCCACGCATTGATGATACCCCATCCTCTCCTGTATCTTGATAGTCTCCTTTACTTTCTCGAGTCTTTTGGTGTATGTTCTCCTGTCTCTCCGTGTACTACTGCGACGTAGTGCACACGCATGTTGTATTACAGTCCCTCGTTGGCAATGACTAGTGCTATGACCTATTTCTCTGCCGGTGAACCAAATCAATCTGCTAGCTACTACACTCCGACAGCTAGACTACCGTACTTATCGTCTACATAGGACCTTGCTCTCGAAGACTATAAACGAGACAAACAAACCAAATGAATCGAGCTGAGCGCGTGAAGCATCGCGGGAGCCGTTGTCGATGAGTCACCGGTGCGGACCACGTTCTAGGCTACAGATACTCCGGATTTGGATGTGCTCGAATGAAGCGGTCCTCGCTTGGTAAGAGGTCTGGATGCATGACCAGGCTGTCCGTTTCATACCAGGGGACAATGAGACCGAGCGGCTCTCCTTGCCAGAGGGGTCTCGACAACCGTGTCCAGGCCTCGCTGTGGAGAGTGATCTGGATTTGTGTCCTCGCGGCACAGAAGCTGCACTGATATGAACGATCGGGTGGATCATTAACGTTGCCGATTGAATTGCAATCGGAGAGAAGAGAGCCCGGTTGGTTTAGCTGGAGTTATATTCGCTAGCTATCGTGAGCGGAGCGAAATATGCTGCCGCTGCGGAACTGGTAGGGTAATTGCCAAGTGTGAGCCTCCATCGCTCTCTGAGTGGGACGCCAACATTCTTGTAGGGCTCAGCTGCATTCCTAGTTAGAGGAATACACGGAGGTCACCTGTGCCGATAAGTGGGCATAAGTAGTTGACCCATGCAGTACAGAAAGCACTTGTCATCGGCCCGTAATTGTTCTTACTACAAGAAATTTAAAATTCCCGTAGATTCATGAGGGCACGGGTGAAACACGTGGCTCATGAAAGGAAGATGGGAAAAGATTCTTGTTGTCTCTGTCTGTATGTGAATGAGAGATGGGAGTGGTTGGTCTGTCGAAGGCATGTTGAGACAAATGATCCCAACGATAGTGCGTGCGGTCGAGAATCAACGGTGCTGAGCGATTCTTACTAAAGGGTTGATTTCAGGTCGGCGCTGGTAGGCGCATGATATTACCAGAGATATTTGTTCGGTCACATCGAGTCCCGACCACTGGATCTAGATGAAGCCTCGGAATAATTTGTTATGATGATTGGCGAGCTTTGCTTGTAGCAGAACCAATTCATAAAAATTAATTAGAGCATCAGCACGTATAACTTGAATACAGAAATTTACGTATCATGAGATGTTGGTGCGTTGAAATAAACAAACAAAATGCTGTTTTCGCAGACCAATGATGGGTTCAAGCTGTGGAGCGCTTCGATGGTTGCCACGTGGTGAGTGGATATCCAGAAATGGCAAGTAGTGTGGTTCATCATCCCACGAATTCTACGCAAAAAAAAGTAATATTGCACACCCGCTCCGACTGTCGTGCAACGCCACGTCGCCGTATATGCCTCTCTTTTACCTAGGGCTAGCGTCGACTTCTTCGCCGCTGTATCCGCCCTGCCCCTCTGCCCCGACTGTCTCCGATCGCATTCAATATAATGTACGCCACACGAGCGTTCAACTGCAGAGCATAGCAGCGCCACGTCCCGTTGGACCGGTGCGTGGCTCAGGCTTCAACTTCAATTGTAGTGGGTTTCTGTCGTCGCTGTCAACGTGTGGCGATGCAGTGCGCTCACCTACACTTCATCGATTCATCGCCTCCGAGTAACCGCTCTGCGTCATCAGTCCCACCGGAATCATCGATATCGGTTTACCAGTGAAATCTAGTAGTGCTCAAGGAAAATTTTATTAAATATTACTATGGATGATGTAGCCTGGAGAATGACGATGGCAGGGGCAGGGTTCTCACTCGCACTGGAAGTGCCAGATGGGCGAAGGACAGCATAAGGCGTCTGTCACCACTTGAATTGTCTAGCCGTCCGAGCTGAGAATTGAAAAATATAGCTGTATGATGATAATCCAGACTCTCATGGATTTCTTGATGGGCCTCTCGAGCTCTTTACCATTTAGTCTTTCCCACTCTGGGAGTAGACACGTGATGAGCATGCTGTCCGCCATGTACATGAAGGTCCGGAAGAGCGCCGGGCGCCAGGCTGTTCCAGACGTTCCTCAGCGCCATCCCAATCTCCTCGAGGCTAGCACCGTCCATTCCAGTTGGCCCCAAGGGTGTGGTATCTTTGCTCTCATAAAACGGTGCCTGTGGGACGATGAGTCGATGGTACGTGTAGGATAGCTGGACTCTGCCCCGATTGAACTGAGTCTGGGCACTTGTCTATTTGCACAAAACAAAATAGGATCTCGGGTGATCCATCAACTAGAACTGGTGCGCCTCGTTCATCACATCTACCGTCCAGCTGAAGCGCGAGAAGAATGTATAGCAACGAAACGACAGTCGAGGCCATACACATTCGATGAATGATCAGCATGAAGGCTAGGCTATGATATCGGGCGACCGGCCAATTACCTGTCGCATACCAGGCGGGTTGCGTCTGGGCCCTGGACGATTATAGATACTCCAAGTTCAAACATGCCTTGTCCCGATATGCACGGCCTCGGTAGTGCATGATATTATATCGTTCTGCATCAGATGTGGAACCCAGCGTCGGGCCATCCAGACCGTCAGGATGCAGTACTCGCAGTAACTCTGTCAGGTTGATTGACTCATTGACTACTGATTATAGCAAGCTAGATCCGCTCGTCAACCCTGAGTATGC